ATGCGTTGCTTTGGTGAGGATTTGTACCTAGGTAAGTTAATAACAGTTAATTAAAGATTTAGAATAGAAGGAAGACAACAAAATAGTAAGAAAAGCACTGATTACCACACTGGGATGACCTCATTTAATCCTTACAGCATTTCTGGGAAGTGTTTACGGTCTCCACTGTGAACAAGAAAGCCACTATCCTGACTGCTGTCACACTCAAGCAGGGGTGTCCAACCTTTTGGCACCTCCGGGCCACACTGGAAGAAGAAGACTTGTCTTGGGCCACACATTAAATACACTGCGACGTGTAATCACATAAAAATCTCATAATGTTTTAAGTAAACTTACGATTTTGTGTGGAGCCTCATTCATAGCCACCCTGCGCTGCATGCGGCCCTCAGGCCACAGGTTGGTCACCCCTGTGTCACAGTTCCCATATTCTACATACATGGGCCAGCCTTTCCAAACATAGGAGCCAGAAATTACTGAACCAATTGCCAAAGGGTTGGAAGGTTTCCTCCAAAATATTAAGATCTGATTTATTTATGATGTAATATTAAACATATTTTACTAGTTAGAATGCCTGCAAGGGTCATCATGTTTTAATTTTATTTCAAGTCTTTTATAACTCTTTAGTCTTAAAGCTTGAGTATTAGCTTTTAATCTGGGTATTAACTTTGATACAATTCATCATTTCAATTTTCTCCTCATGGTAATTCAAAGAAGTTGTGAAGTATCTACACTAGGGACTATGGTTGCTGATTCATCATCTTCAGGACAACCAAACACTAGCAGTAAAACAGAATAAAAGCTGACTTCTAGAAGGCCCATTTCAACGGTTTCAGTGGATTGAAACATTGTGGACAACCAAGTGGTTTATTGTTCACTCCGGAAAGATTCAGAGCAGTTGGATTCCCTCTCACCTGGGCTGAAAAGGAGCAGTGGGAAGAGGGAAGAGTGGGGAACCACTCGGACTTCAACTTGTCTTGTCACTCCATTGTATGGCCAGCCTCTCTTATACCCAGCTGGTACCCACAAAAGGACTCTTTCTATGACTAAGTGAACATTTCATGACTGGCTCTCAAAGGGGTTTTATCTACCGAAAGGTTGCTTTCAAAATGGAAACTCTTTACTGAACTATATATTGTTTTAAGCAATTGATGGTTTAATTTTGTTAACAGGTGAATGAAAAGTTAATAAAAACTCACACTTCTGGGGTTTCTAAGAAAAAACTGTTAAACAAATATAAATAAATTAGAGTAATTAGTTTTGACTTTTTATTTTCTTAAAATAACATCTAAGTGTTAAAACCAGTTCAGGATGGTGAAAATTTAGGATAATACAAAAATTATAATTCACTGAGGATGTCAACTGGTGCCTACTGATAGGATTTTGAGTAACCCCCAGAAAATTTAAGCTTCTTAGAGGCATATATTTTTCACTTGAAGATAAAATTAGAATTGCAGGCATATTTGGGAGGGAAATCATTCTGAAAGTTATGAAATCACATTGAATAATTTATATCAAGGCCATTCTAATACTGATCAATGGATTCACACTCTTAAATCCATTGGAATTCAAATACACACACACACACAAACACAAATCACCTTCTGGTGTCCAGGATATGATCTGTGGTCTGTAATGAATTCATTTCCAGGCAAAGCTTTGGCCAGCTTGAAAACGTCAATCAATATTTTATGCACTTTGTCATTGTTTTGCACAGGGTCCTAGGATCTAGGTGTAGTTAGTTGTATCATCAGATTCAACAGCCTTCCTCAGTGGCATCCTTTCCTTCTCCCTTTTTCTCCCTGCTATATGCTGATGCCTTTGGTTTACCTCTCAACTTGGACTTCACATCCTTCACACATGTCATAGTTAGTCTTCAAAGTGAGGTCTCAACCTACTGCTTTAGATGTCCCAAAATGTATACCTACTTGAATATTTATGGACACCATATGCTTGTATTACTGCCAGGAGTATTTCTACACTTCCTCATACATAAGGTTTAATAAAGAGAGTGTTAAGTTCTATTGAAAACAAATTTATCCAATAATTACAAATATGAGAGGTCTAACAAGGGCAACTCGGGTCCGAGGTCAAAGAAAACACAGTGATGAGAATGGCAGGGTGAAGGCTTCCCATTCATTTATTCATTAGCTTTTCTGGTGGAATCTTAAACAGGAGGCCAAGCTTCAGAGATAAGAATGTAATTTGGTCTTCATCGTCCTCTGCCCTAACTTTTTATCTCAGGTTACTCTTACCCATACTGATTAACCCCAACTGTGATGCTTGGGAGCAGATGGAAGGTGTACAGATTTGATGAGACGCTGCCGGAATGATGGGAAACAGGCTAAAATCGGGGTCATTTCTTGCTAGCCACAGAGTGAGCCTGTGACACAAATGAAGGCACACTGCAAAAGGAAAATTTCCCCTTCCACAGCAGTTTTTATTGGTGTTATTATTAACTCATTTCTGAATTTGACCAGAAATATTATCATGCTTACTAATCCATAACTTAATTTCATATCAAAACAACTTCTTTGGGGTACCTTATACATTGCCTTTTTTTTTTTTAAGATTTTATTTATTTATCTTTAGAGGGGAAGGGAAGGAGAGAGGGAGAGAAACATCAATGTATGGTTGCCTTTCGTGCGTCCCCTGCTGGGAACTGGCCTGCAGGGAACCTGCCTGCAACCCTGGCATGTGCCCTGACTGGGAATCGAACCTCGATTGTCTGGTTTGCAGGCCCGCGCTCAATCCACTGAGCTACACCAGCCAGGGCTTACATTGCCTTTTATTTAGGTTTCATTTTGCAAATTGGTCCTGGGAGAATTGAGAAAGGATAGCTTAACAATTAGGAAATGCCTTAGGTATATTTAGAAATTTCATTCACTAATGTAAAAAATTGTAGTGACAATGATGGCTTCCATGCCAATTCTTTTGAGGAATAACATATTTAATGTCTATTGCTCTCAAGATTTATACTGGGTGTGAATGTTCACTAGCAGTGGTTGGAAACCCACTATGTGAAGGACACATGAATGAACTAGACAAGAGAAAATTGTTGCAAGAAAAATCCGAAGTCTTCCAGTCCTCTAAGAGGACCTCTTAGTCCTGCTATTTCCCACTATTCTCCCCCTCAGTCACGCAGTCCTCTCTGCTGTTCTCTGAACAAACCAAGAAGAATCCCACTAGCTTTTCTTCTTTTCTAAAATGCTCTGCCCCAAATATAGGGATGGCTACCTCATCTCTTCAAGTCTTTGCCCAAATGTCACTTGCTAAATGATGTCTGATATTATCTGTAATTTGTTGCCCCTTCAGCACTCCCTTCTTCTTCTAACCTTGCTCTGCTTTTCCTTTATTCAATGCCTCTTACCATCATCCAATGTATACTATACTTGTTATTTATTATGTTGATTGATATTGTCTTCCTATAACTGCTAGAATGTAAGTCTCACAAGAATGAGCAGCATTATATTTTAGCTCACTGATATATCCCAATGAAAAATTACCTGACACTTAATTCTCTAAAAAATGTGTTGAAGAAGAAAATAAAATACCTGAACAGTGATTGTGTATAGCAGTGGAGTGCTCCAGAAGACTTATGGATGGACAAAAAGGAGGCAGATCTGGGTTCAATATGTAAATGGCTTTCCAAATAAAGGGGCTTTCTAACTTTGACATGCAACAAATCACCTGCAGAGCTTGTTAAAAACAATGGGGTCTGGACCTCAGACTTCAGCAGAACCTGCAAGAACTAGGAAGTAGAATCTGCAGTGGGAGAGGAAAGTCATAGATCACCGGCTCTATACTCAAGTTCAAAAACCACTGCCCTAGATTCTCAATTACTGAAATATTCAAGTAGAGACTGAAAGACCATGTGTCAAAGATGTTTAGGGAGAAATGTGTATTATCCGCACTGCAGATGAAGGGTGGATTTTATTGTATAATTTTATCAGATTAATTTCAAGATTGATTAATATATCTTGTGCTATATTATTGAGAACATGTTAACTTTACTTCCCATCAGGCTTTGCTATGAGGTTGGTATTTATGTCCCTTAAGAGGAATAGAAATATAGCTCCAAGAAGAATCTCACATTTTTAAAACATTTAACTCTTATGTGGAAGTCTCATTACACATAAGAATATATATAGATTGGAAATTTCTGGCTTATTTTTGAAGCCACAAATATTTCATTTAATGAGGATAACTGCAATTTACTCTTAATTATGTTTGGAATCCATAACAGAACTTCTGAGTAACACTTAATTCAAAAGAGGGTAGAATGATCTGCAATTGAGAACAACCCTAACTGAATATTCAACCTTAAATTGAATGTTCTCTTTCCATATAGGAAGCATTATATAATGTGCAAAATGCATTTTTACTATAATATGAAAAAATTAATTTCAGAAAAATGCAGGCTGCCTTCTAAACAGTGGTTTATGAAGGTATCACATGAAACAGAATCATGATAAAATGACAAACAAAACCAAAAAATTGGCAGGAGCAAGCACTTGACATGCATCAGACCTTCAGCAACCAAACCCTCCCCCAAAACCTTGAGTCCCTTTGTGTGCCCTCTGGTGGGTTAGAAGAATTAGAAGATTCAATTCTCTGTTCTCTCATTGGACATAATTACCTAAATTGAAATTTTTTAAATTTAAAACTATCTACATAGGTTTTTTTGTATGTATATAGAAGGATACTTTAAATTAATCTGTTTAGTAGGTTTTTTAATGTTTCCCATAAATTGTGTGGAAATTATTGAAAAACAATTAGTGCTATGAAGAAAAATGATCAAATGTGTGTTTTACTGTATTTGAGTATATTTTTCTGATATACTTTGGATGAAAATTAGCATATCAAGTATTGGCTACATTAAAAACTATAAATGAATTTATAATAACATTCTTATTGTATAATCAATCTTTAGTTTTAAGCATTTTGCCAAAGTAACTGCAAAATACTAAAAAAAAAAAACAAACCCTCAAAGGGACACTCACCTGCCTCACAATTTTCAGTCACAAGCCCTTTATACAGGTGGTGGCTGAAGGACACCTTTACATCCGCTCCTTCCATGTGAACGACCAAGAGACCCGCAGTTGTCCTAGCCGGGACCCCTTGGTCCATAACTTTAAGCTGCAGCCACATCGGAAAATATCCTGAAGACGGGTTTTGCTGAAGCTGAATCTCTCCTGTATATTTGTTAATAGAAAACATGGACTGGGTCTCTGCAAAACTAAAAATGACAGTTCCATTGGGCCCCACGTCTGGGTCACTGGCTCTCAGAATGGCAGTCGTCTGGTTTATAGGTAACTGAGGGGAAAGAAAAACGTCAAAGGGGTTTTGTTCCCAAACTGGATCATTGTCATTAACATCAGTAACATATACTTTTATAACTACTGTGGTGCTTCTGGAGCCCTGGATGCTACAGTCTCTGGCCACAGCCTTGAATGTATATTGAGATCTGGCTTCTCGGTCGAGGGTATAGCCCGTTCTCAGAGTGCCTGCCACAGGGTCAATGGTGAAGGCACCAGAAGCCTCATCTGTCAGAGAGTACACAGTTTGCCCATTCAGGCCTTCATCCTTGTCCACGGCGGTGAGCACAAGAACCACAGTGCCCACTTCAGCATCTTCTCTCACGGAGGACTGGTAATGAAGTGTGGGAAAGGAAGGGCTGTGGTCATTGTCATCCAAGACTCTGAGTTGCAGCTGCACTATAGAGCTCCTCGGTGGATCCCCCAGGTCGGAGCACAGGATGGCAAGGGCAAAATTGCTGACTTGCTCCCGGTCCAAAGCACGAGTGGTTGAGAGTTCTCCTGATGTTTCATTAATGGCAAAGTACCCATCAGTATTTCCATCTATCAAAGAAAACAGATTCAAAATTCACTCGAATTAGAAAAGTAGCTGCCCTTAGCTAGTCATATACACACATATATTCATTGATTCAGTGGACAAATATTTATTTCCTGATTACTTCATCCTAGTGCTTTTGAAATACTGAGGCTGTAACAATGTGCATGACTGATAAAGCCCCTGCCCTCATGAAGCTTCCATTATCAGGGATGGACAAAATACTATAATTCAGTATCTATCTTAATTCAATCAATAATTAGGACATCTGTTTTGACTGATATATAGAAGTATAATTTTCATGCATGTGCACCTATAACACTTATATTCATATGTTTTCCTTTTGAGAGGATTAAAATGTATATCTTATATAAAATAAAACAATAGTAGGCAGAGATAAGAAGTAGGATGAAATGTCTATTTTTATATATCAATCATGAAGTAACAGATTGATAGCAGTAATTCTCCCCAAAATGACTCACTACTGATTATATGGCACTTATATGACAGTAATAAGCACTGTTCTACATTTCCATGCATTTTGTGCATGAATCATGAAACACTTCCGTTAGAGATAGTGAAACACTTGTCTATTTCTTCCATAACATAAGCAAAGAAAGTGTTTTGTCTCTGCATCCTTCAAAAACATCTGTCTTGCATTATTATCCACGGTACTAAGTGGAATAAAAATTAAAACTGAACACAGGACAAAAAGTTGTCAAAGACATTTGAAAGTCACCCTGAACATTAGTCTGAAAAAAATGTGGTTCAATAACTTGCTGGCCATATTCTTTGATGAGGCTCACTGTTTCCGATAGTGTGGAAATATACCCAAGTCTGCCAGAGTCAGTAGGAAGTAGACTGGCATTCAGAGAACATGACAGTCATAGGTAGTGCTGGGGACTGAGGAGAAGGAACTTGAACTTGTACTTCTTCATAAGACATGGTTAACTTGTACCACACAAAGGGATGATGAGACAAACTACATTTCTGTGGCATTTGTGGGTGATAAACACGCATCCACTCAGCAAACATTTAAGGAACTCCTGCCATATACCAGGTATGTGCTGCATGCTGGAATATGAGGAGAGCAGGATGTGATCCCAGGCTCCAAGAGTTGAGAGTTAGGAGGAAATGGGGGTCAGTGCCTGGACATTTAAGTACAGTGTGCAAATCCTACATACGGGGCATGGGGATGCCCAGGGGAAGGGCACACAGTCCTGTGTTAGGATGGGCAGGATGTGCTTATTAGAAAGAGTGATGTCAAAACTGAGTCATGGAGGGGAGAAAGGCCACATGTTTCAGAGAGAAGGAAAAGCAAGAGGAGGAGGGAAGAGCATGTGTGAGGTCCCTGGAACTGGAGAAGTCAATGGCTCTGAATGTTTTAGTTAACACAGGGCCCCCTGGGTATTTGAGTGCTGGGGGTGGGAAGAGAGTTTGCAGTGGATTTCGGAGGTAAGCAGAGGGTCACATATGAAGTGCTCTCTGTACACTGCTGAACCAGTTTATGTTTTGTCTTAAAATCCACGGGGAGTCCCTGAGGAGCTACAGACAGGAAAGTGTCATGAATCACATTTCTGTTTTAGAAAAAGTCCTGGGCAGCAGCATCCAGCCTGATTAGAATACGGGAGATTCTGAAACCATAGGTGCAGACAGGAAGTGGCCACATTAAAAAAAATATGAAGGAGGAAAAAGGAGTAAGGCAGGAAGAATTCATGATGGGCTTAGGCAAAAGACTAGGGTGTTTAGACCAGTTCTCGTGAGGTCTGAGTGCTCTCAGGGTTACATGACGCTTTCCAAGAAGTTTCTGGATGTACATCCTTAAGAATCCAGAGTGCAGATGATTTTAAGAAGCTTGAGTGTGAAGGAAAGAGATAGTGAATGAAGGGATACTTCTGAGGAAGGGTGTTTTTCAAGATGGGAAAGGCTGGTAAAAAGTGATGGGAAAAGCCAGTAGCAGGGGAGACATTGGTCATGCAGGAAAGGGAGGGGCATGAACATAGACGGGGAACATCCCTGGTGCCATGGGAGAAGAGAGGTGCAGTCTGGACATCGTTTGTGACTGGCCCTCGACAAGCTGAGTGCAGAAATGGGGAGTGAGCATTTAGAAAATTTCATAGCAACTCAAGAGAATACTTTTATGTCTGCATAATATAATAATAGTTCTTAAAAACTGGGGTTTGCATTTTGCATGCTTTTGATTCTTTTCCACTTAGTCTTTCCACTTAGAATATTTTCCACTCATACTTACTGTATTTTATAAAAAGTATCAGTTACAACAGATTGGAAATTTAAAAAATATAAACCACAGATAGTTTGAGAAGTTTTAGAAAACAAAAGAGGAAAATATTCTACTGGAATAGGAAGGAAGAAGTAAGAATTGGACTTATTGATATAGGTTACTTGGAGGGAGTATTATTCTTTGGAATGGCAGTATGATATACCTTTATCATAAGGAAATAATATAAGTATTGTTCAACACAGAATTTTTATTACAGTAAGACTGTTCAATATCTAAATGACTACCAAAAGGAATGAGTGAAATAAATGATTTTATGCATATGCATAAGAGACAGATTTAAAAATATATATTCACTGACATGAAAGATTTAGACAGTATATTCATTTAAAAATGAGGCAACAAACTAGTGCACATAAATTTTCTGATATATATAAAAATGGTGTCTGTCTATATATAAAAATTCACCGAAGTTCATGGAAAAGTGTTTTTCAGAATACCAAGTGAGTTATCCCTGCAAGGCATAAGATTTTTTGTTATTACTTTGGTTTTTTATAAATTATATATATACACAACTTATATATATATTATATATTTATACATTTTACAGCAATGATATATCATTTTATAATCAGGGGAAAAGGCAATAAAACTGTTTTCCTTTTGGAGTAAAATGGGCGGTACACAGAGCATAGATTGATTATAGAATTTATAGCAAGCAGAAAGTGACAGCTTCCGGAAGCCAGTCCTAAAACTATATTTACAAGACCTTAAAACAGCTTCTCTTCATCAGAAGCAGTCCCGAAGCACTGCTCTCTCCTTAGCGCCCTTCATTCTGTGTACTCTCTGATGGATACAGAAAATCAGGTTCTTCAATCACTCTTTTGTTAGATGAGTAAGATATGGCACTCTCAAGCTGACTGTGCTGATGTGGAAGTTATTCTGTCAGAAATCCTCATGCCTCTGATCTAAAGGGAGCCATATCACAAAATTATCCTTTAGGGAAGAAGTTCCTAAAGACCTTGACCTTTGGGGGATGGTGGCAGATCTGAAGTGTCACACTGCTGTTCAGATCTGGGAATTGTTTGCCCACTCATGTCTTCTAGGTCCTTCTAGAAAGACTTGGATAAAGTGAATTGCTCAAAATAATGAAAATAAGTGATTATAAGAGAGAAACACACACAAAAAAGGCTATCTGTTCCACCTGTACATCCACGAATGTTAAGTAATTTAGGGCAATGAAATGCATTGTCCTATAGGAAAATGCACAGGAGTTGTTGAGAGCAGTGGTTCTGGACGGCGGTAGGAAGGAGACAGAGAGGGAACCCAGGGCACCAATCAGTTCTAACTGGGTGCGTGTTTTGCCAACACTGCAATAAACTCCAAATACAGAACAATCACCATACAGTGCGTCAGCTCGGTCAGTGTCATGGGGGGAATTTTAATAAAGAAAACACTTACCAATCAAATGATACTTGATAGCTCCATTGTTGCCGGTATCCATGTCAAAGGCCAAAACAGTGTAGACAACCCCTGGCTCTTGGTTTTCCAAAACCTCAATGTCATGGGTGGGGACAATAATCTTCGGGACATGATCATTTTCATCTTCCACGGTACAGAGAATGGTTGTGGTGCCAGACAGTGAAGGAACACCCCCGTCTCGTACAAGCACTGACACGGAATGAAAAATGGCACAGATTGGGGCTGTTAATTCATACCTGAAATGCACTGCCCTCACTCAACAGCACCAGGCTAAGCTAACCCGGTGGCACTGGGTCAATAATGTTTTATTTAAAGACGCCCTACTGATCCGTAACACTTCCTACTGCCTGGGCTTGTTTGTCTGTTTGTTTGTTCAGCAGAGAACAGGGATCCCTTACCTTGGAGGGTGAAGACTTCCTGAAGTTCTCTGTCAAGTGTGGTGGTTGTCACCACCTCTCCGGTGTCAGGATTTATCTCAAACAACCCAAATGATGCACCTGGCATGATTTCAAACTGAAGCTTGGAATTGATTCCTTAAAGAAAACATAAAGAAAAATTTTAGCAATTATCCCTTCAGAATCCATTCTGTTCTCCTATTCTTTTTCCTATGAACATATTAGGCGATAGATGAAAAAGGCAAGATGCTTAAACAACCTTCAAATTAAAGTTAAAAAACAAAACAAAACAACTCTCTTGGCTGCTCTTGCTAAATAAAAGCCTCATGAGCCAAAATGCTTGCTTTTCAAAAGTCTTAGGAGACTTCCCCACAGTGAATGCTTAAGATTTTTTCCCTCCCATAAAAAATTTCTTATGAGTGTGCAACTCTCCAACATATTCCTAATTACTCTTTCCAACACCCCTGATTGCAGCTTCATGACATAACCGTAAGCTACAGGGCAAAGGGCAGTTTCCATGAATTGACCCGTTTCCAAGCTTGGGCTCAGTTACGATGCTCCGTTCTTTTCCCAGTGCAGATGGCGAGCTCTGCGAGTTGCTTCTCTGCATATTTTTTTTTGTTTTGTTTTTTACTTAATATTCAGCCTCCTTCTGGAGTGAGAAATGCTGCATTACCACATACTTTGAAAATAGTTCTTCCCACATTTTTTTGTGGTTTCATTTCTCCCCTGACAACAGAATCAGGCCATTTCCCCAAGGGGTTTGGAGACCTTTCATCCCATTAACTTGAACAGGTTTATTCTGTGTCGTTGTAATTTAGTTGCACTTTACACAAGTTCCTTTCAATCACTTTTCTATGTTTTTTTCTTAACTGACAAGAATCTCGGCATAGATTTAGTACTTAGATTATATGACTTTATATTTTAATAAAAGATGAAATATTGTTCTTTGTTCTCAACAACAACAAAAAAATTCACATCTTCATCTTGACAGTCTTAAAAAGTAAATTTCACTATGATCTAGCGAATATAATATAGGAATGAGTGCTGAAAGAAGTGGAATATCATGCAGTTTTATATAAAAATAAACATACATGTCTTCTTACTATGTCCCATGAAAGACAAAAGATAAATGAGATAATCTGCAGGCATTTGAATGACATTTTTAAAAGTCTAATAAGATAGGATCAGCATATTTGATATTATATGGCCAGAGGTTACCACAATATTTCATTCTATCACTAAGCATGGGTCATAGTATTACATTAATGATATTTTAATAGCACGGTGATTACTTTCATCTCATAATGACCGCATAATCTCTCCTCTAGGCAAGACAGAATTCCTAAAAATTCCAGGCTGTTACTCCTGTCTGTCTCTTCCCACATTTTGAAAATGGGAACGATGGCATTTTACGTCTACTTCACTTGTTCCTTGAATATTTGGCCAGCAAAATTAGGTGACGAGCTGATCTGCCAAGGAGCTCAAACAGGCACAATTCTGCCTACATGGAGCTGATGTGGAGAAAAGCACCTTTTAATTTTTGGAACTTTCAGTTTTAAAATCAATGTACTTACTTGTTATATGTCACACACAATATTATATACTAAATATTATCACCTTTAATTCCCCTCAGTGGTCAAACCTAGAAAATATCTTTAAATATTTCAACATAAACTCAAATCTTTGTGTTTTCCCTCCTTCCATTGTTTCCGTTGTTCTCTGATGTGTTTTTGCCACTATAACCAGGATTTCCCTGACTTTTAAAAAACTTCCGGATTTTATTATTCTTATTATTTGATATAGCTTCTCTCTGTAAAATAACCACTCACTGCCCACCCTCCTGGTGTGTTATTAAAGATAAATAAGGTCTTTCTTTATAACAACAGTTTGCATGCATACATTTTCACACTCCAGGCTTCACACCCTTTACTGTGACATAAATTTAAAGTATTTTACTGTGGCTTTTTTGGAACTTAGTCCCTTACTTCTTCCTCCACACCCTTATAATCCACCAAACAAAGAGAGCATCACCGAACTTGAAAACTAAGAGAATAAAATAAAATAGAGATTATTTAGTCAAAGTCCATTACCTTACTAAGCAATTTGGAAAGCTGGACCTGAGCCCACTGTGTGGTGTACTTATGACCACACCCAGTGAAGAATGTGAGTGTGAGCAGACACTGGTGTGCACACACGTACATCTGCTCTTCACCTCAAGACCTACAGCTTATGATGCCTTCATTTCTCCCACTCTGGTGGGGTAACCTCCCTCCACAGTTCTTTTCCTGCCCAGGCCCACCCCATGAATTCTTGCTGATTTCCTCAGCCCCGTGGCTTTTGGCAAAAGGGGACCAGCAAAGCTCCGACCAAGGATCACTCCAGCCACCTCTCTGCCCTCCTTGAACATCCAGCAGATAACTAGAGCTGGAGGAAATTTCACAACAGCGTAGACAGAGGCCACTGAAAGTCCTTGTCCCCTGGCCATCTTTCCAAATCTTCCTGGTCACCTCTCTCCCATTTGTGTCTCAAACACCTCCTGGCTCACACTCACAGATCCCTTCCCTCCTACTTCCCAGATAAAATGGAGGCACTGGGAGAAAAATCCCCTCAACTTCCTGCATCTATGCTCAACTCTATGTTCTGCTTTCTGTCTTCATGGTCAAGTAATTCTTCAAATACCTTCTTTGGAGTTTTCCTATCAGTTCTAATCTTTCTCATTAATTTCTTCCCTAAAATTATATTCTACAGCTGTAAGACTCAAGAATTTTTTCCTTTACAGCCAAGTGTCTTTTAAAAATTCTGTTCATTCTCCGCAGCTAGCTTGAAACCACTGCCATACCTAGCTACTCTTTCTAAAGTCACCGATGACCTTCTGGTTACAAAATCTACTTGTCAATTTTAGTCCTTACCTTCAGGTATTGTTGAATGATGTTAAAAAAGACAGAAAGGAAGGAACAAAGGGAGAGAGGAAGGGATGGAGGGGGAGAAAAAGAGAGGAAAGGAGGAGATAAAAGGATTTCATTCTCCCTTCCTCCCAACCCAATGGCTTCAGTTTCTGCTCATACACAGGCGACAGCACATGACTGCATTGAGCTCCAGTTATCTGGAAGTTTAATTCATGCGTGCACACATTCATTAATGTGTTCCTTTATGTCATGCACATCTCCCCAGTGCTAGGCACTGGAAAGGCACCACTGAATAATAAGTAATTATCTTGACCCTCAGAGTTACCCTCTAATGGGGAAGACAATTAAACCAATGAGTTATAAACACCGTGATAGAATATACTAAATCACTGAGGAAGTGGGTCAGGGAAGACTTATCACAGGCACAAAATTTGTTCATTAATTATTTCACTCAATAAACATAGAGAAGGTGATGGTAAGTGGCAAGGTACAGTGAATATACTAGGTACTAAGAATATAACTGACAGCAAGAAGACAACTTCTCTGCCCTCACAGTGCTTACAGCACAGCACTGCATACAGGTGGTAAGCAGGCAATCATGATTCCACCTGATAAGAATGACTGTGGAAGTACAGGTTCCCTTTGGTATAAGCTGAGACCCTAACAATGAATAGGATTTAACAGGTAAGGGGGAATAGAGTGTTGGCACCCAAGGGACCTTGCAGGGAGGCTGAGAGTCAGAAGGAGAGGAGATAGGACTTCCTCCTCCCATTTGCTGTGATGCCACTTCACCCCGCTGCAGCAACTGCCTCCAGTGTCTTTGGTACTCCCAGGACCAGGCTCTGCAAGGCTCCCTCTCTTATTTTCTTCTGAGGTTCTGATCATCTTGGCCTCTTCTTCTTGTTTTCCAGCATTTTTCCTGGGTTACCCCAAGACTCCCCTTTCCCTTACCCAGCCTTCCAATGCTTGCGCAGTAACATCTGGTTTTCCTGACTGCACCTGACTGATACAGTACTTGGCACCAGCAGTGGGCCCCAAGTAACAGGAACTTTGGGATTGGTTTGATTACGTTTTAGGCTTTGAATGAACTGCTGAGTTCCTTGGCCATGGGGAATGGAATACTAGTAATTCATCACTTGCAATGATATCACAATCAATTAAATTATAGCCTGTGTTGGTTTGCATTAAGTGACTATTAAAGGACTCGAATTCCTTAGAGGACCAAATGGTGCTGACTTGGGCCATATGAGAGTAAAAAGAAATGTGATGTGAGACAGCTGTTTCTGAATGTGCAAGGAACTTATAGAAAGAAAATTATAAGCTGAGGCTTTAAACTTGCAGCTCAGTCATAGTCAGAACACCAGAAATCTGTGGGAGCCCTAGAATCAATCTCCCTGAGATCATACCCAAATTGAATGGCAGATGCAAGAGGTAATTTCTTGAAAGAGGATGTTCATTGACCTGAAGAGCCATAACTAGTCAGATCTCAACATGTTGCAGGTGGTCATGTACAAATCCGACTCAGTCAGAGACAGCTTATTGTTTCAAAAGAACACCAAGTTTTCCAACTTATATTGGAATAAAGCTGGGGAATATGTGTGGAAATCATTTCTAAGGATGTGGAATCCAGGAAAATAAAACAGAGTTTTGATTTAGGCTGGACTTATTGATATGGTGTGGTTACCAGAGATCATGAAGTTAATGTGTTAGCTTGTACAGCTGTGTATTTTGACAGTTTCTTCAGTCGGCTGGATTTGACACTGGCCTATCATTGAGGTTGATCTTCCCTTGTTCTGTACCACAAAGAATTGAAAGCTTAAGGAAATGGGAATGTTAAGATGGATTTACTATGTCTGACACACACACACCCATTACATATCCTGAGTTCAGAGGATTCCTCCTTCATAATGACCTCTAGAAAGACATTGCTTAGAAGGACACAAGCATCCTTTAAAAGCCTTCTAGTAGCTGTCCCTTTGTAGATGGTAGATGATGAGGGGGACACCTTTTTAAAACCAACACTTGACAATAATTTGTAAGAACTACAAAATGATTTGCTTTTACCTAGCATGAACAACCAAGTACTTCAACAGGGTAAACCCTTCTGCTATTCACCATCATCTACTGGCAAAGATGTTGATCATCTTGGCATCCAGTAGAGCATCGCATTGATCCACTACTTTGATGACATCATAATTGGATCTGATGAGCAGAAAGTAGCAGGTAACTTAGATGTATTAAATAGATACATGCATTAGACCAGCAGTCAGCAAAGTATAGCCCGCTGGCCAAAACCAGCCCACCCCTGCTTTTGTACATTTTTATTGAAACAGAGCCATACCCATTTCTTTATGTATTATCTATGGTTGCTCTTTTGCTGCCACAATAGCACTGAGTAACAGAGACTGTATGGCCTGCAAAGCCTAAAACATTTACTCTCTCCCCCCTTCCCAGAGAAGAGTTTGTAGAACCCTGTCCTAGAGTAAAGGGTGGGAGAAAGATAAGAGATGAGGACAGAGGAAAACTGGAGTTGCTTCATAAAAATGCCTGATTATAAAGCTAAAAGACAATAGAACTTTCCTGTAGAAACCACAGGAAATGAATAAAGAATTCTGGCCCAGGGAGTGCTCTTTTTGGATATGCTTTTTAGGAAGATCAATTTTCCATGTGATCCCTCAACTGCATGATGCCCTGCAACCCAGACATTTCTGAAGCAAAACCAGGATTGGCGGACTGAATGAAGGGATAAATAAATGAGCAAATTCCGAAGCATGAAGGCGACTGGAAGCAGCACAGTTTCACAGATGCTTCAGTGTCTCAGATCACAGTTAAAAATATGGATCACTGTGTCCCTAAGTCATAGATCCTGAGCAGTAGCTAAGGGACCTGGGATAAAAGTAAATAAACTACATCCTGGATCCACGAGAAGTTCACAGCCTAATGGACAGGCAGACAAGTAAACAATTACATAATTACAGTACCGTAGACTAAGTGAAATAAGAATATATATCAATTTCAACAGTGATTCTCTCTGGGTGAGAGGGGTCATGAGTGGTCCTTACTCTTTTTTTTCCTGTTTACTATTTCATTAATTCTAAAGCTTTTTCTCACATTTTAACATTCCTAAAATTAGATACATTGACAGCGCATGGTGCCTTCAGCTTCATGAAGCAGGTGAAATGCTCTCACTGAAGTGTTTCTCCCTTGTCCCAAGTGTAAGCTGTTGGATGCCGTTGTTCATCTAGCAGAAGGCATTTTCCAATAAACCGATATGGAGTTTATTCAAGATAAACCCAGATGGAGGATACATTCTCCATCTCCATCGTGGAAGAGAGAATAAGAGCTCACTATAGAATTCCACACTTCTGTACGGCAATAAAATATTTTTATTTTATTTTATTTATTTTATTTTTTGCCACTCCGAAGTAAACCTCTCAGTCCACAGTGAGTCATCTTCCCTGGCAGGGTGCCCTGTCCTGGCCGTGGCAGAGAGGGGCACCTGGGGAGCCTCGCTCACTAACAATGGAGCTCTTGTTGGTGGCACCAAATGCTGTAGCAGTTTTAATGCCTTAGTTAAAACCTGGTAGTTGTTTTCCCATTTTAACCTAAGAAAAAACTCCTGTTAGAACTAGTGTGAGTCATACATCATAAACATTCAGTGCTCAAATTCCCATGGGTTTTGAAGGCCAACACTTTAGGCTTACGTTTTTAAAAACTACATGGTAGAATGTTAGAAAACATATGTCAAGCTTTCTGGTATTAAGTAATGCTATATTGTACTTTTTAAAATATGTACTACAAAGTAAACCATTCATAAATTCCTATGTGATGCTGGTATGTTAAAACATCGACTACATCATTTAATTGTTATGCATAATCCTTTTTCATTATTTTAACCTAATAAGCTCCCCCCCAAAAAAAAGACCAACGGGAAATATGTTCAAAATCACATGCATACACACAAATTTACATGTGTTTACATAACTACTTGCTTAACAGATCTGGCCTCATTAAAAACACTAACATTTCTAGTAAACTGAAATTGTCTCCCACACATGTGAAGGTACCTGGCACTCAGGAAGATATTAGGTGTGTATTTAAAGCATACATAAGTGCAAAGTCAGAAAAACAATAATTTAACATCTTAATTCTCTGTCCAGCAAAACGTAATCTCTAGAATAATGAACATTCAATTCAAGTAACTGGTCGCAGACTACTGGTTCTAAAAGAAAATAACACTAACAGTCGGTAACTTGACAGTAAAAGTCAGAAAGAATTTTTATGGTAATCATCTTTAGTTGATATATGCAAATTTGAGAGAAATTCTCTCCTCCCTCTTCAAACATTTAAAGCAAAAGTAATCTTTTCAGTAGAGTCAATTGCAAAAAAATAAAATAAAATTAAGAAGCCAAAGTAAGGTCAAGGGAAGGGAGCATTTTACACAGTTTAATAATTGCTAATCGCACATCATCGACAGGATTGGCACATGTCTGTGTACTCTGGGAAGTGGTTTCGATGGTGCCCTGAGCCCTGTGTTATTCGACTTATATGAGAGCACACACACTCACAGAACTTTACTGAACCGGAATTACGGTAAAACACAAGGCTTCTGTATATTCTCCCTTGTTTCTATCACCCTAAAAACCATACCTTCATGGGTGGTTGGGACAAGCAGTTGTTAGCATGCTCCAGTCCTGTGTCTTAGAGCAAAATAAGAAAAACTGTTTGATCACACTGCCCCGCTCTGGTCAGAAGAGAGATTAGGTTAGGCCCTGAAAGTTTTTGTAACATCACATCTTAAGTGCATGTGTTTCATTAAAAGACGATGTTTCCAAAATGGCAATGCATCTGAATGGTATACAATTTACATTAAAAGCTCAAGGAAATATACATTTTTACCCCTTTTAAACAGTAGGAACATGCTATTATTAATAGTATTTCTCCATAGAAACATCTATTACTATCCTTATAAAGAAAGCACAAAATATTACCCCAATTATATAAATGCCACTTGCTGTGCACAAATGTGAATCCTGGGCTTATTAAACTACTCATATTAATTCAGGCGGGAAAATTTGGCATATGATGCTAGTGGAAAATACTTCACTGTAGTTTTTATAGTTATTTTGGTTAAAATAAAAACAGGATATTATTAAAGTTACTGAAACTTAAAAGCCTAAAAGGTCAGTGATATTGAAAAGTAATTCTAAGAAATCCTAGGAATTTACAGATTTTTAGCCAGAGTATCATTTTACTTCAAAGTCATTTGTCTCAACACAGTGGTTGGTATTAATAATAGTAATAATAATAAAAACAGAAGTTATCACATCTATTGACCACTTATTGGGCCAGATACTTAAAACTATAAATCAGGTATTATTGTTATCCATGTTTTAGAGATAAGCACACAGAGGAACAGAGAGGATCAGTAACTTGGTCAAGGTTACACAGCTTAAATAAATGGCAGTTCTAGAACTCAAACTCAGGAAGTCTGACATCAGCATCCTATCTTTTCCGTTATGTTACACTGTACAGAGAGGAACTAACCATTTGCCTTCCTGCATTCAATGTATCTAGTATACTCTGAAAAAAAGTGATACCTAGTCTATACCTCTGCTTATTATCACAATCAAATCAATAAATTCTGTTAATTAGGTGTGTATTGCTCTACTATAAATAATGACAAAGATCAATAGGAGAAAATGCTATATAAGAGCACGCTTCATCTTTACCCATGGATAGGATTTTTATGAATGCCATTTAAAGAGGTATGAGAAGTTTGAGATGACTCACAAGTGTTTCATTTTTCTGGGACATAACCAGTTTAAATTACATCCATTTTTGTTTTTAGCATTAATTACTTAGTTTCCATATTTTAAATTACCTGAATCTCTGTCCATAGCTTCAACCCTTGTGACAAACTCCCCCGGACCTTGGTTTTCTTTAACTGAAGCTCGATATAGGTGCTGCTTGAACATGGGTGCCTCATCGTTTACGTCAAGAACAGTGACTGTCAGAGTCTGGGACGAAGACAGTGCTGGGACACCATCGTCTAGTGCCAGAAGGGTCAGAATGTGCTCAGTTTTAATTTCGTAATCCAGAGAGCAAGTTGTAGTGAGTAAGCCTGTTTTGAGAGTGGAGAAGGGTAATACATAATAAATATTCTTTAGAATAGCCAACTTCACACTCTACTTACATCTAAAACTTCAGAATCTTTCTTTGTTAAATAAGAAATCTTATGAAACTAACTTTAAATTGGTATATTATCTAAAATGAAATGACATTTTTTTTTACCAGAAAAGTCATCCTAATTTAAACTATAGGGATGCATGAAAATTCTGAAGTAGTCTATAGTATACCGTTATGTACTGTGAAGATTACACCGGAAGGATTTCTGTACCCAACCTCTACCTTCGTTTAAAAGACTGTCTTCAGGACAAGGGAGATTTGTGTTTAAAGTGACCAAGTTGCAAAAAGATGAGTATGGCTACATTCTTTAAGATATTTAGCCTTTAAAAAATTTAGTTTTTGTTATCCTCTCTTCATACTTATTCTGTTAACTGTTGCCTTTATTAATAACAACAAAAAAACCCAGTAAAGACTTTATAACCCAGACACATTTCATGAACAAAGCATGTCTCCATCCTCTTGCCATCGAAGCATGTAACTCATTTAAGCAAAGTGTTGTGAAGTCTCGCACACTGTTGCTGTCCATGATTCCAGCTGTCACATGTTTTCTTTTAGGATTGCTGTTTGCTTCTCCAGCACACGCTCATCCTGTAAGAACTTTTCTTCAAATAATTAAAGAGGTTTACTGCTTCAGATTTTGTCAAACAGCTTTCCAGTAATTACGTATTATTTCATACTTCACAGCCAAAAGCCATTGAAAAATTCGCTATGTCTTCTTTATAAGAAATATGAGCCTTGTGAGAGAAACACAGCAATGCATTCAGCAATGATCATTTTATGTCTTTAAAAAAGATCTCAACTGAAACAGCCACTGCAGTTGTTCAAGACTCGTGATGCCTATGTTACTGAGGCACAGTTCTAATTTTATCCATCCTCTTTAACAATCTGAAATAGACCTGCCTGAACTGTCAGGGAAATCATTGTAAGGACTGTTGAAATGGGTCCTTGGAGAGCCCAGCTCCAACAGTAATCAGTAACTAGGTCTGGACTGTCTCTCTGTCAGCTGGGCTTTTAGGTGGTATTCACGCATGCCTCAGAATGGAACCATATGTACGGGATTCAATAAATATTTTGATAAAAACATTCAGCAGTGGAAAGCCAGACGATAATCATGACTTCCAAATCCTACACATTCAGTTCATTCCAAATCATGGTCTTAGTCATAGTTGGGCCAATGGGCATACATCTGAGATTTTTTTTTCTGAGTCTCATGCAGAATTATTTATTTTTTTAGAGATTGAGATGGTAGTCCATCTCTTCAATATCTCGTTAAAATCAGGTTGAGGGCAGGTCATTTGCAATTTCACAAAAATAACACTTTATACCTATAATCTTCCATCAAACTACACCAAAACTTTTAGTAGATATTATCTGGCAACATGGTAATAGCAAGGCAACAGTAAGTGACATTGCTGTACAGTCCTTGACAGGGAATAAATGCTTCTGCATTTAAACAATAAAATGGTAGAGTCGAAATGAGAAGGGTCTTAACGCCCAAATCAACCCTGCCATTTAAAAATACATTATTCCTTGTGCTGGCTGGTATAGCTCAATGGATTGAACACTGGCCTGAGAACCAAAGGGTGGCCGGTTTGATCTCCAGTCAGGGAAAATGCCTGGGTTGCAGGTCAGGTCCCCAGGACAGAGTGTGTGAGAGGCAACCACACACTGATGTTTCTCTCCCTCTCTTTCTTCTTCCCTTCCACTGTCTCTAAAAAAATTAATTAATTCAATTAAATTAAAAAAATAAAAATACATTATTTCCAACTATTTACAAATGTATGTTTGTAAATTTATGATCTTAAAGATGATTTTCCACACTAAAGCCACTGAATAATGCTGTTGACTAGTCATATTCTATTTTTTTTTATATTTTTGGTACCTTCTCCTACCCTATGAGGATCCACAATGAGGGCAAAGAAGTTTGCTATGTAGATTCAACCCATGAAATGTGAGCTTACTACAAAGCATAGGCAATATTAAGGAACAGGCCAGTTACAGCTGGTTCTCTGAACACAACTTCTGTGCCTATCAATACACAAGTTAAAGGCAAAACCAGGTCACATTTCTGTAAAGCTTGTTCATTTGGAACTGTCATTTTAACAGAGGGACATGAAAAGGATAAATGGAAGCAAGTGATCAGAAGCTGTAATCGACAGCGGCAAATACCTGACGACTTATCGAGCATGAAGGCCATGTTTTCGTTTCCCGAGAGAATGCTGTACGTCACTCTTCCATTCCTTCCCTCGTCGGGATCGTGGGCAGCTACGTGATGCACCAAGGAGCCCACTGTGGCATCCTCTTTGACATGTGCGATGGGGAAAGACATAAAAGTGGGGCTGTGGTCATTTATATCCAAAATCACCACCTTTGCCACTAGCGATTTCAGTCGCCGGTCTGTCACATTCACAGCCTGGTCGGATGCAGTTATTGTCAGGACAACAGTCGGAACTCTCTCTCTGTCAAGGGGGAATGCGGTGACTAATGTGCCAAATGAGGGGTGGATGAGAAATGGATTGATTCCGGGGTGGTGGGATTCAATGAAGTATTGGATTCTACTGTTCAAAAAACTGCCATCTCCATCTTTGGCATTGAACACGTGCACCAGAGTTCCTATGGGGACATTCTCTTCTACGCTTATCACAATGAACTCATCCCGGAAAGATGGGGAATGGTCATTCTGGTCTTCCACATCAATACTAAGGAAGGCTGTGCTGTACAGGGGAGGGGTTTTGCTGTGGTCTTTAGTAACCACCCTGAAAAGATAGTGAGCCGTCATCTCATAATCAAGTTCTTTAGAAAGGAACAAGTCCCCCGTTGAGCTGTTGATTTCAAAGTGACCATCCTTGTCCTCTGCAGCGATACTAAAATGTAGTTTTCCATTATGATGTTGTTGGAAGTGATCAGGTGACTTTACCAAGCTCATTATTTTTGCAGGCTTCAAATTTTCTGGTATAACTAAATGTCTAATATTCTGAGAAATGGTGCCTCTCCCTTTGGATAGTGGTATCACCTGAAATAAGAATTAAAAGGAGGTGTTAACCTGAGGTATTTTTTAACAGTCGCATCAGTACATGTGATGGTATTATTTTGGAAAATAGTTCCTTCTGTTTGTGAAATACATGTTAAATTGTGATAAAATTTATTTATTTTTTTAGGAGAAAAAGAATACAAATTTATTAATTTTTATATTTTTTTAAAATAATTTTATTTAGTTATTTTTCAAGTACAGTTTTTTTGTCTATTTCTCCCATCCCAGCCCCCCCGCCCCATGCTCCCCACCTCCCTCCCATTTCTACCCCCCTTAGATCTCATCCCTGTGTCCTTCATATTTGTTCCTCCAAATCCCTTCCCTTTTTCCCCTTAAATTCCCTTCCCTCTCCCCTCTGGTCGCTGTCCCCTTGTTCTCCATTTCAGTGTCTTTCTTTTTATTCTGCTTGCTTGTTTGTTTTGGTAAATTTATTTTTATTATATAATTTCAATGTGCCTGTGATGATTGAAAGTGGAATAATATCCAGGAGATAAGAAAGTACAAAATGTTCCACTTCCTGTTTGTTCTAATGTGTGAAATGATATACAGCCTATGTTGATGAGGCCATACTATATAGTATAGTGAAGCTGAACAGCAGTCTTGTGATTCTTCAGTAAGAATGTGGCATAGCTAGTTCTGCCAATTACTCTAAATCCTGGAGACCAATACATCCATAATGACAACATCTGTGTTCATTTATGAATCGTGTGTCTTTGTTTATTTGCAACTAGGGAGTTGAGGAGTTATGATATAGAATTTTCTTCTAACACACATCCTCAATCAATAAAAAATATAATTTGGAAACAGAACTCTTGGGGCTATATAGTCTTAATTTTTACACATGCCAATATTAATATTACTGATTTTTATGTGCATAAACAAAGAAATGGCTATGCACAGTCATCTTATTTTTGACTCGCTTGTGTAATTTTTTTCTGCTATGAAGACTTCCCACAACTTGTTGGCTCATTCTGATTAAAGTAATGCCTTACAATATGGATCCCAAGTGACTTTCCTAAGTTTGAAAATTATTACGAAAAACTATGTGATTTATTATTGACCCTTTGTTGATGTAAAAGTTTCTCTGGCAAACTTACCAGCTCTTTGCAACTAGAAAAAACTAAAAAAAAAAAAAAAAGGCATTTTTGTTGTTTATTAAAACAAAGCAACAAATGCTTATACAGTCATGAAGGTAAACATCTCAAGACCTGTGCAAAGTTCAAATAAAAATTTATTCAAGTTTAATCATTTCTCTAGTGATAATAAAAAGGCACACATATGTGCAATGCTCTCTAAAAATAGTATTTATATATTTAGTGTATCTTCACTCTGTACAGATGTACAGAAATCAAACAGCACCTTAGAACACCCTTCCACCTTTTATGGTGATGACAGAACATTACCTGAACATTAATAACTGCCTGTCCTTGAAGAGGAGGCAAGCCCTGGTCCCGGGCAATTACAGTCATTCTGTAGGAGGGTCTATAATCATATAGAAGTATTGCAGTTGTTCTGATTTCACCACTGTTGGTATCAATCTTGAAATGATCAGACCTATCTTCTATACACACACACACAAAAAAAAAGATTAAGGAATTAATGTTAATTGACAATGCAGAAAACAGAATTAATTAATCCAAATACATCTGTGATTATTTGGAAGATGTATTTGTATTAAGCTCTGTGAGAGAATAAACATAAAAAGTAATACTAAAAATGTACACAAGAAACAGATGTTTTAAAAAATTTAGTATGAAATTTTAAAACATAAAAATAGACAAAGTGATATAGTGAACTCTCATGTGACTATCACATCACTTCAATAATTGTCAACTCATGGCCAATCTTAATTTCCCACTCATATATTTCCCTTTGGTATCCCTCCCCAGTGTATTTTAAAATTATGTTTATACCTTATTGTATTCTATTGAGTATGCAATAGCATTATTTCTAAAAATGGATGTATATTAATTAAATAATTTATTGCTGAAAATGCTAACCATCTGCCAGGGGTGTCCAATGTTTTGGTGTCTCTAGGCCATGCTGGAAGAAAAGAGTTGTTTTGGCCACACATTAAACACATTGTGACAAGTAATCACAAAAAAGTCTCATAATGTTTTAAGCAAATTTACGATTTTGTGTTGGGCTGCGTTCACAGCCGTACTGAGGTGAGCCATACTGAGCCATACCAATTCCTCACATATTCAAGTTTGTCATGAGATTGCAGTACTTCAGTCACATCTTCAGGCTCCACTTCTAATACTAGTTTCTTGATATTTCTACCACATCTGCAGGTACTTCCTCCACTGAAGTTCTGAATCCCTCAAAGTCATCCATGAGGATTCTAATCAACTCTAAACTTCTGTTAATGTCAATATTTTGACCACTTCCCCTGAAGCATAAATGTTCTTAATATCATCTAGAGTAACAAATTTTTTCCAGAAGGTTTTAATTTATTTTCCCAGATCCAACACAGGAAGCACTGCCTTATGAAATGTATTTCTTAAACAATGACTTGAAAGTCAAAATTACTTCTTGGTCAATGGGCTGCAGGATGGATATTGTATTAGCAAGCATAAATACGACAACTAATCTCATTGTATATCTCCATCAGAGATCTTGGGTGACCAGGTGCTTTGTCGATGAGCAGTCATATTTTGAAGAGAATTTTTTTTCTGAGCAGTAGGTCTCAACAATGGGCTTAAAATAGTCAGTAAACCATCATGCTGTGAACAGATGTGCTGCCATCCAGGCTTTGTTATTCTGTGTTTAGAGCACAAGCAGAGTGGATTTAGCATAATTCTTAAAGGGCCTAGGATTCTCAAATTGGAAAATAAGCATTGGCTTTAGCTTCAAGTCACCAGCTGCATTAGCCCCTAATTAGAGAGTCAGCCTGTCCTGTGAAGCTTTGAGGTTAGACATTGACTTCTCTTTAGGTAGAAAGTGCTAGATGGCATCTTATTCCAATAGAAGGCTATTTTGTCTATATCAAAAATCTGTTTTTTTGTGCATAGCCATCTTCATTATTATCTTAAACTCTTCTGAACAAGTTGCTGTAGCTTCTACATCAGCACTTGCTGCTTCGCCTTAAATGTTTACGTTAGGGAAACAGCTTCCTTCCTTAAACCTCATGAACTAACCTCTGCTAGCCTCAAACTTTTCTTCTGCAGCTTCCTCACCCTTCTCAGCCTTGACAGAATTGAAAAGAGTTAGGGTCTTGCTGTGGATTAGACTTCAGCATAAGGGAATGTTATGGCTGGTTTGATCTTCCATCCAGACCGCTGAACTTTCTCCATATCAGCAATAAGGCTGTTTCACTTTCTTATCAATTGTGTGTTCATTGGAGTAGCACTTATAATTTTCTTCAAGAACTTTTGCTTTGCATTCACAACTTCTCTAACTCTTTGGAATAAGAGGCCAAGCTCTCAGCCTATCTCAGCTTCTAACATGCCTTCCTTACTAAGCTTAATCATTTCTAGCTTTTGATTTAATATAAGAAACCTAAACTCTTATTTCACTTGGACACTTAGAGGCACTGGAGATTTCAATATTTTTTGTATCTCAGGGAACAGAAAGGCTTAAGGAGATGGAAAGAAACAAGGACAGCGGGTCCATGGAGCAGCCAGAACACAAAACATTTGTCAATTAAATTCACTGGCTTACCCGGGCGTGGTTTGTGGCATCCCAAAACAATTACAACAGTAACATCAAAGATCACACACCACCATAACAAATATAACAATAGTGAAAAGCTTTAAAATATTGTGAGAATTACCAAAATGTGACATAGAAACAGGAAATGAGCAAGTGTTTCCAGAAATTGTGTGGCTCAACACAGTGTTGCCATAAATCTTATATTCATAAAACAGATGCAGTATCTGCAAAGCACAATGAAGTGAACTACAATAAAGTGAGGTGTTCCTGCATTAGTGGTGATTTCTATGCTTCTTCCGTTTACTTTTTTCTCACAGGAATACTGTAGAATACTTTTATTGAATGTGATACATATCTTCATTCCTATTATATCAATTTTTTAATATTTTGTAGTTGCCTCAATTCTGGAATTGGAGTAAATAAAAAGAGGTATGAATAACATGACTTTTATATTGCTACGCCATATTTTTATATGTTTATACCCCAAGTATCATTGGGGTATATCAAGAAGCTAAGTTTTTTTAAATTAACATTTCAAACATTCAGAAATATATGACGAACATCCATGTAAACATCTTCCAGATTGATTCATTCCCAATATTTCTTTAAAAAATGTTTAAAGAAGTGACAGAGTTTAAGTGCAGAAGAAGACCTGTGTGTACTCCTAAACCTCACTCCCCTCCTCCTTTCTGTAGCTAGCCTCTTTTTTAAAGTAAAGGTTTGTATTTCTAGGCCATATGTTCATGAGTAATATATGGTGTGTTTTTTAATTTATAAACAATGCTATAATATCAGGATTATAGCCTCATTTATTAATCTGCATGTGTGTTTGTTTGTGTGTATTCTCTTCACCCCATTACATTTTACAAGTATACCAAAAAATACATTCTCTTCCCAGCCCAAATTAAAATGGGAACAAAAAAATGACCCAGAGATGTCATGGACTAATGGGCCTTTGCATGCATGCTAGCCAAGCCTGTTTTTCTTCCCTCCAGGACCAGATTAGAATAGACTCAGCGGATGGAGAGAGAAAGCGGAGTGGTGACTAATGGGAGGAGAAACGGAAAAGGAGAAGGCATCTCTGAAGCGGAGAAGACAACCCAGAACCAGAGGAGCCCTCCGCGTGGCTCTGCGGCAGGCTCATTATCTCAGAATGCCCACCATGTCCTCCTGCAGGGATGGAACCCACCCCACAGGGAACACGACAGGCCTCTCATTTCATTCTTCTTTCATGTCTTTGTTAATAGTGTGCAATTTTCTACACAAAGGTCTCAGACATCTTTTATTGGAGTTTTCCTGCCTGTGCTCTAATCGGGATGATCCTGATTTGATAAGTTTTGAAACTTACATAATTTGAGGGTCCCTCCTTAAGGAAAATAGAACAATCTTACAAATATACGTTACTCACTGGTACCCAGCCCACCCTAATCACTGGAACACATCTGAGATCTGTAGGTTCTGAAATAAACACACAAAAGCGCACCTGCCTCTATGAAGTTCCCACATACATGTAGATTATGTGCATGTGTGACATTCTGAAGGTGTGATTTGCTCTAACCTGGAGACAGTCTTCATGGAGATTCATAGATGCTTGGTGTTCATAATCGTGTTTCTTTGTACTGATACCACTTTCTAGCCACTAACTGCTACTTTCCTTTCAATAAATGTTGATTCATACTTCAGATTATTAAAAATTATTCATTTACGGTGGATGGTCAGTGGGTTGTTTTTCGCTAAACTTTAAATTTTTTTAATGTAAAGGTGATTCTAGACAATAATAAATGTGTTTTGTGTGTAATATGGTGTTATTTTCGATGTTAACTATGTTCCCAGAAAGTGAGGGATAATTAATAAACAAAAGAGAAAATTCTAAAGGCTCTCAGCTCTTTACGGGCAGTGACATTTACCTGAAGATACTGAATACGTAACTTCTGCATTGTCTCCTTCGTCCGGATCCTTCGCGAACACTGTTGTGACCAACATATTTACTGGCTGACCTTCCAGAACCTGTCAATAAAACAAATGGCTTAGAACCACTTGGAAAAGGTTTTAAAAGAAAAGCAATAAACTTACGTGGAAGAAGATGCTACAACTAAGCATTTGAAAAAAAACTATTTTAGGTCTCCATATAATTCAAATGTCTACCATATAAAAATTATATGGATATAAATCCATACTACAATTTAAATCTTTTACACAATTTGAACAAATTGTTTACAGCATTTGAACTAATTCCGAAGGGTGAAAAAGGAAATAAAATTAACTAAACAATCTTAGCTTTTGAAAGTATTTAAGAATTCTAGCATCTTTTCATTCACCACCCTCTCAGGATGTTTCCTTAAAGGTTGTTGTTAAGGTCTAAAATATGCAAAAGATAAACAAAAATCTTTATTTCAGGATACATTCCTCATACAGGAAAGATAACTAATTAACAGAAACTTTTCTAGAATATTGAAATTTACACATGGAGTTGAACTACAAGTTTAAAAATCTTATTGCCTAATGAAGCCATGAGATATTTTTATGATCTGATGAAAGTCATAATAATAATATCATAATTTGCTTGGGTAAAATTTTCTTTACATGTGACTTTGGAAGATGAGTTTAAAGTTATTAACTTCCTCAGCACCCTGAGCACAGGGTGCATATCTGAGCACAATTTGAATGTCCAATTCAGTTGTTTGGGAGCTATAGCTTCCAAATTTTTTGTTCATATGACCCATTCATCTTTAAAAAGTATGAGCACCTCCAAGATATACGTACTTATTAATTATGTCCATGAACTAACGTGCTAATTCACTGTGTACATTATAAAACATACAACAACATAGCAATGAAAAAGATGAGATAATATAAATATAATGAGAAGTCTGCATGTGTCCGCAAAAAGATCAGCTTTTATGATCTCTGGATATATGTCTCTGCACGTTAGAGCCACAGGTTGCTCTGCTACCTCTCACTGCCCGTCTTGGCAGTGTGCACCAACCGCTGGTGAGGAGCTCTGCACAAACAGATGCATGCCTGTTATTGGAGACACAGCCCTTGTCTGAGCGTGACTGATAATGGGAAACCATTGTGTCTGTTTACAAAGGGCAGATCTCCATTAATCATAAAACTGCTAGACGTTAGATCACAAATGGCACGTACAACCATTTTGTTTTTTAAAAATAGGATACTTTGGACACATGCACAATTTCTAGGTCTTCTAGAAATGAATGCACTGCCACACCATGACTAATTTGATAAATTCATGCTTTTTACCACAAGATGGTGCTCAACACAAATAATTAAGAACACTACAAATTCATTGCCAAGGCTATTGCAGCCTACAGACCTTGATGTGTAATTCCTTCCCGGGTAAGCACTGTGGGAAGTATGGCCTGTTATCATTGATGTCAGTGACTGAGACATAAACCACCATGCTGGCATTTCGAGGTGGGGAGCCATGGTCAGTCACGAGGACAGTCAGCTGATGGTGCACCTGCTGTTCGTGGTCCAGCGCCACCCAGCTGATCAGCTCACCTGAGGAACGCAGAGGAAAAAGAGGCTGATACTGTGTACTAGCCTTCTGGCACTGAGCACCACATTCAACATCATTTGTGAAAAGGAAAATCAAACACTATCAACCTCGGAGTAAAAGAACGACCTCCGACACCATGTACATTTGTAGTTTCACTCTACTGTTGAAAGAATTTTCTGAAGCTTCTCCTAAAAATGCCACTTTAAATTTGCCACTCTTTGTATTTCAACTTAGCTACTACCATCAACTATTTAAATTAAAACTGAATTCATAGAAGCAGATGATAAAATACTCTGAGAATTCAGAAATCACTCAGAAGATTTTAACAACATCATCATCTCCCCCTTCATGGTGCTACACAGAATAACAGAAAGAAATGCCTCAGCTTGCAGGTCACAGGCTCTGAGTCTGGGTCCCAGTTTCTCCAGCTCGGACGCAGAAGGACCTCTCTGAGCCTACTTCCTATCAGCAGAAAATGCATTCATACATTTAGAAGCATTCTGTAGGCTATCAGTCACTACCCAGATGGCTGCTGTTATCATCTCTTTAAAACAAGGGTAAATATCTCCCTGAGAATCAAATACATTCCTCAAGCTACGGTTTTTATTTTTATATATACAGATATTCATCATTATCTCACAAAATATATGTGTGACGATGGAGAGTGACTTCCCAAATAACTCTTCATGCTTTACAAGCCTTATTTTACATATTCTTGCTCAGAACTCACTTCTAGGCAATGTTCCTCACACTTGAGCGCTGGAAACTCAGACACAAAATTGTAACTGCCTCTACCTACGGTCAAGAGCCATTAGGGGCCAAGTGCTGTGTCTGGCCTGAGTATGTCAGGAACGACCTCCTTATTCATGATCAGGAAGCCACGTTCTGAGGCTGGGAGACCTGCTTAAAGCCATGCAACAAAACTAGGAACACTAGGCCCTGCACTCACTGTAGGAGAGAAACTGTCATAGGGGAAACAGATGTAGTTTGCATATTTTCAAAAAATAGATCACTGAGTAAAATAGAAGACGTGGAAAACCAGCCTAGGAAAGTGAAGAGCAAGCAGGGCCATCCTGCGTAACTGTGCAGGTGCGTCCTGCAGAGAGGAACCAGATTAGGAGTGAATGGGAGCTGGAATCTAGCTCCCTGATCCTCTCTGTGAGCCACGCGCCCTGGGGAAAAGCTCCATCTGCTGGAGGATGGAGGAAAGGGCACCTTTTCCCAATTTATACAGCAGGGGTCTCTGGAATAAAGTTAATCAGAACTGAATTCAAATTCTATCCATTACTAGGTATGGGGTGTAGTTTACACAAGCCACGATGTACATGGTACCTCGAGGAAATGCACCAAGTGGTGACTGCCTCTCATGTCCTTTTAGCTCCGTGACCTCGGGCATGTTATTTGAGCTGTCAGGGTCGGTTTCCCCAGCTATACAGTTGTTCCATGAATGTATTTCATTTGTAAGTGGTTTCAGGGATTAAATAAAGTCCTTGTAAGTATATATAATTTTTAACACTTTTACATTAATTTTATAATATTTATAATAACATGTCTATATTTCATTCCATAATTAAGTATAAAAGACTTGAAAGAACTCACTGTAAGTAACTGTCCGTGGCTCCCTTATCACAATGAGAGTGGGAAAAGTATGTTAATAAAGTGGCTTTGAAATCTTGGGTTGATTCCCACTTTTACGTCAATGACACTCATATTTTACAAAATGTCATCTGACTTTTTAACATTTAGAAATGAAAAAGGTTGGTGGAAAAATTAGACTTTACAAAAGGATTTATTCAATCCAGTTCTGACTGTCTCTCTCATTTAGAATAAGACCGATATATTAGCAATAGGTGGGTGAGAGGCAAGAGAAGTACAAAGCATTGTAGATAAAATTCTATTCATTTTCGCTTCATTTTAAAATCACAGAACTGTAATCAATCTGGTGTGTACTAAAACTGTGATTCTAACTGTGTTTGTACTAATGTTGCAACCATAAGATTTGGGTTTTGTTGATTCGAGTTTGAAAGGAATAAAGGGGAAGCTACAAAATGCTACCTGTATGAGGATTCATCTTGAAGAAGCTTCCATCGGACAAAAGGAAATATGACAGCTGCCCATTCTTTCCCGAGTCTCTGTCAATCGCTGTAATTCTGCCTATTACCCCTTGGGGAAGGGGGCTCTCCTCCACTTTCAAAAACAACACATCGTGCAGGAAGGCAGGGGGGTTGTCATTCTCATCCAGAACGTGAACAATGACCAAAGTGCTCGCGTTGTGTGGCAGTCTGTCCCCTGGGATCCGGGCAAACACTCTGAAATTGTATGTTTGGGTTGATTCATAGTCGAGCGATCGCCGCAGATAAATCCAACCTGTGTAGGGGTGAACGGCAAACACAGCTGAGTCTGCGCTGGGCTCCAGCGAGTACAGAAACCGGGAGGTTTCTCGCTGTGGGCCAAGCGGGTAGGCTTGTATTTGCAGTATTTGGGTCATCAGCGAAAGACACTCACTAACTTCTACTTGATAGACCAAATTTCCAAAAATCAAGGGTGGGCTTGATTCTTGTTTCTCGACAATGACTGTCAGCACGAACAGGGAAGCTCGGGGAGGAACGCCAAGGTCCTGGGCCATGACAGTTAGTGTGTGCTTCTGGGGCATGTCGCCGTCCAGGCTGCCATTGAGGTACACCACCCCCAGCCCGGGGTCGATGGAATAGATGCTGGGGTCCTGGCTGGCCAGGGAGTAGCGGATGAATCCGTTCCGGCCACTGTCCTTGTCTTCCGCACGTGCACGGTACAAGGCCGTGCCAGGCAGTGCGAGCCGGGGTACTTTTACCTCGTCGGAGGCTTTAGGAAACACTGGGCTGTTGTCGTTGACGTCGATTACAGTTATGTTGACCTCTGTGCTGCTGCAGGCTGGCGGGCTGCCGAGCTGCGCCTGGACGGTGAGTACGAACACGGGCTGTGTCTCGTGATCCAGAGGCTTCTGGGTTCGAATGGTGCCCAGCCACGGGTGAACGGAGAACTTTCCCTGCTCATCGCCCGAGGAGATTCTGTAAGACACTGGCTCCGAGGAATCTGAATAAAAAAGGAGAAGGAAAAAAAGGAAGAATAAAAAAAATAAGCTAGCATTGTATGTCAAAAGAACGCACCCACTGGGAATACTGAAATCTGAAAATGTAATATTAACGTGTGCTACATCTACAGAGAATACAACGCAGCTTCTTACGTCTTGCTTAGCTCTCCAAACCCTGGGGACAGTGGACAGGCAGTTAAACACGCTTTCATGGATAAAGGTAATGTCCAGTGGACAAAAAGCAAGACAGCGTTCACTACCTCTCTTCATTCCTCTTGCAAGAGGTAAAAAGAAAAGATAGAAAATTATTTGGATGTCTTTTTAATATATTCGAGGGAGCCAAGTAAAGTTTATGTTGCTGTTTCTCTATGATATCTACCTATGAATGGCAACTTCTCCCAGGAAGGGACAGAGTCGGGGCAAGGAGGGGACTGAGAGGGCGGCAGAGCCCCTAATTCCCTTCTGGGAATCTCTCCTTCAGAGACGCTTCCACAAGTCGCACAAGGACATTGCTTTAGTATTAACTGCACTAGCAAAATACTGTAAATCATTCCAATTGATAGCAAAAGAGAAATGTTTAAAAAACATTTAAAAACATTTAAAAAACATTACATAACCTTTATTAAATTTTTTTCCATTACCATTCCATCCCCTTATACTCCTCTCCTCCCAGATAAAACATGTTTTATATCTGAGCTGAAATATCATTCAAATGTATAAAATGAGACAAAATGAGGTACAGTTAACTGCAAAGTTATACAGTAGAAAAAATACAGTACAAATCACACAGTAGAAAAAAGATATTAGGATACAGTGTTGTAAAAAAGTTTATGTGTGTATGTGTTTGGTGAGTGGGCTGTAGGAGATGTATACTTTCCACATTATGAGGAGTTTTTTTTGTTTTAAATTTTCTTTTAAAAGTATCTATTATTTTTGTGATTAGAAAAAATTATAGGATATAAATAATGTTGAAGGACAAAGACCAAACCACAGACTGTGTGGTCTCTCTTCATTCTTCTTTCATGGAGAAAAGGAGAGATTCAATATAAGCCTATACGACCTAAGAAAATACAGGAGATGTTGCACTAGGGGATTTCAGTGTAGCAGAGGAAGTGAGTACTCACTCAAGGACTCTCTTGCTTTCACTGCTCCAACAGGACTGTCTTCAGTCACATCTTCATAAACTGAGAAGGTGTACTTAGGCCTTTCAAATTCAGCCGGTGCCAGAGCTGTCTGAAGAATGTGTATGGTGACGTCAGCATTAATGGCAGATGGGAGCCCACCACCATCTCGAGCTCGGACCATTAACAGAAGTGTAGAGGATTCCAAATGACTAAGGGTGGATGATAAGTAAATAATTCCTGGGGAAAGAAAAGAAAGAGTTAAAAAAACAGATAACATGCAATAAATACTGATTAGCAATAGAACATCTGGTCTGTTGATTCTACTGTGGTGGTTAATTTTATGTTGACTTGACTGGGCTATGGAGTGCCCAGATACGTGTTCAAACATTATTCTGTGTGTCTGTGCGAGGGTGTTTCTAGATAGATGAAATAGATATACATACAGACATAGACACAGACATGGATATAGACAGAGACACAGACATAGACATAAACACAGACATAGATATGGACATAGGCATAGACACAAATATAGATATAGATATAGACATAGTTAGCTGCTATTGGGTTCATTTCTCTGCAGAACCCTGAGAGAAATGCAAATTAAAAACACAATGAGGTATCACCTTACAGCTGTCAAAAAGAACCCAATAAACAACAAACATCATCAATAAATCAACAAACAACAAGTACAGGCAAGGATGTGGAGAAAGGGGCACCCTCATGTACTGTTCGTGGGAATGCAGACTGGTGGAGCCATTGTAAAAAGCAGTCGGGAGATATCTCAAAAAATTAAAAATGAAACTGCCTTACAACCCAGTAATCCCACTCTGGGAACATATCCAAAGGAACACTAATTCAAAATAACATATATGCACTCCTAGGTTCATTGCAGAGTTGTTTACAACAGCCAAGATTTGGAAGCAGCCCAAGTGTCCATCAGTAGATAAAATCTTACCTTTCTGGACAGCCTGGATGGACCTGGAGAGTATCCTACTAAGTGAAATAAGCCAGTCAGAGAAAGACGACTACCATATGATTTCTTATGTGTGGGATCTAATGAACAAAATAAACTAAGAAATAGAATAAAAACAGACTCATAGATGTAGAGAACTGACTGACAGCTGTCAGAGGGAGTTTGGGGGGTTGTGTAAAAAAAGGTGAAGGGATTAAGCAAAAAAAACAAAAGCAAGAAACATCATACACACAGACAACAATCTGGTGATTGCCAAAAGGAAAGGAAGGTGGGAAGAAGAAGAGGGTAAAGAGGGGATAAATGGTGATGGAGGGAGATGTGACTTGGGGTGGTGAATGACACAGTGCAATATACAGGTGATATGTTAGAATCGTACACCTGAAACTTATATAATTTTATTAATTGATGTCACCCCAATGAAGTCAATAAAATAAAATTTACAACAGGACAATTAACCTGTTTTGGAAGTTTTCACTCAGTTGTATTTATTCAATGCCAAAGAGTAAATAAATCAATAGGTAGTTTGGAATTGCAATAAGCTTATGTAGGAAGTCACAATGGGATCTTTTTTATGTTATTAAGTTGAAATCAGTGGAACTTATATTTATCTTAGCTTTATCTTTAGTTTTTTTTAATGTCATACTGATAGAAAGATCCTTGAAATGGAAGTTTACAAAGTAAATTCAAGTGTTGGGTTTCCAACTACATCCTTGAGCAAATCACTAAGACTCAAAGGGTTTTCATTCTCTTAATTTGCGGATGGGCATAAAAATGTCCACCTTGCTTATCCCATAAGTTGTGTAAGGCTCAAATAGGCAATAAATGGAAAAGATGTTTAAAAGTATTATTATCTGAGATGGAGCAATATAGGAACAGATTACAGGTCTAGGCCACAAGGTTCAAGTTCAGGTCTGTTGTGTACCAACTGTGCACCTTTAGGCAAGACAGCACATTTCTTTTTGGCTCAATTTCTTCCTCTACTACATAAGGGAGCTGAATTTTAAAGTCCTTTTCATCTCCAAGAGTCTGTGATCTTATATTGGAAAAACACATGAGAACACTCTCTAACATGCTTTTGTTTCCTATAAAAGTGACTTACACTGATTAGGTGCTTGTGACTAATTTTAGTCTCTGTCTTGCAAATGAAAAAAAAAGAATTTTTTGGTGCGAGCAGGCTCATATCCTTTAAGAAATAAGATGTGGTATTAATTTATTAACTACATATCAGAATGTTCTATATGTAGAAAAGTGACAATCATGAAGAATTATGAGAATCATTATATACTATGAAATCTGAGCATGAAACTAATATTAGAAAAGAATCTGCCCTTGAAAGAAAGAAAAACAGAGTCTGTGCTCCATTACTTAGAGTCCATATTAAAATCCATACACCCATACAAACAAAAGATTACAGCTAAATGTGGAGACAGAGTGGCCCTTGTCTGGCAGTTTAGTTCACTCAGTTACTCTTTTAATAATCTGTTCTGCTATAGTGCTGACTTGGATTTTGTGTACATCACAACTAAACATAGATCACACAACAAGAGAGGCAGTATAAGCTTTTATTGTAAAATATATAAGAGCAGGGATTTTTGTTTTATTTACAGATGCATTCCCAACATCTATAACAGGGCATGGGGCATAGATAAATAGTCATGGAATAAATATGTATTAATAGGATGAAGTTGCTTCCATTTTCTGACTTGAGTAGACAAGTTACTTTCTTTTTTAGAACTTTTATTGACTTTTCTTTATATCAACGTGTTTCTATAAAAAGAGGTAAACCACAAGAATTTAACCAATGGTTAATTTTGTGGGAAAAAAAATAGCTAAGCGACAATAAATGACCAACACAAATGCTTGCAATCTCTGTCACCTTAAAATAATTTAAATTAGAAGTTATGTTTGTTTCAGTGTAAAATTACTAAATAAATAGCACAAACACAAAAGCTAAAGAACTGTTCTTTTCATGCTACTAAAGGGACACTTCAAACAATGTAGAAAAAATCTACATATATTTCATTAAATGGGATTAAAAATACATGAAAAGAGCTATTAATAAATATGCCTCTGTGCTTCCTCCTTTTAAAGCTCAAAACACTGTGGTCTGCCTCATGCCCACATCAAAGGAACCCAACGAACTGAGAATAAGAGAAATGAAAACTCAATTCAATATCTCTCTCCTGGTGCCTAAACACATTTTACAAAAATGTTCTTTGAACTAACAACACACTTAGAAAACCAAAAACAGACCAGGAAGATAAACCCACAAGAGAAAACAACCATGACGTTGCCACACACCCCTTCCAGTTTTCTCCAAAACACTGTTCTTACCAGATGAACAGAGTAAGTCAAAGGCTCTATTTTTAACACATGAGTCTTGGTTGTGGCACAAATAGGTCAATGGAAAAATCTCTTGTCTTCAGGAAAACATGAGCCTGTAACACACACTCCATAAGCTCACAGGGTAGCACGTCTGATATGGGCAGCATCAGAATGAAAGGGCAAAGGGACCAGTGAGCCAGTGAATGAATGCCCTGAAGAGAGAATTTTAGAAAAACTTGGGAAGACGTGACAATGTATGAATTTGCTCATCAGTCCTCAATATTCTTCTCATATAACATCTATAACTGTAAAACTATTCAACTATATAATCAATTATATAAAACTATAATCTACATAATTATAAAACTATATATAAGTATATATAATATATATGAGCATTTATTTAGCATATATATCTAGAAATGTGACAGCCAGCACAGACAAGCTGGAAAGAAAATGAAAGAGTCTGGGCTAGTTTTGAAGAAAAATAGGGTGGACCACAGAACCACCTACCATGGTGTAATAGGGAAAGAGGGTTTTAAATGAAGTTTTGCTTTGTATTATCAATAACACTGTCTTGCAATTTCTTACAAGACTGTAATAAGGATTTGAATCATTTTTCAGTTTAAAACATATGAATTGTTCTTTTATTCCACAAGTAGATATAGCTATACTTACATATACACATCCATATACATATCTACATATATATGCAATTCCTTGAGACTGTTCCTATTGGCAGCTTCTGTAGAGATGGGCCTTATAGGCTAAGCAAGAAAGCCCAGCTTTCTGCAGGTTACAACAAAAGCACAGATCAGCATAGGAAAACCACATCCCCAACTGATCCTTGTTCTATTCTTTGAGAACACCAACAGTTAGATTATCTTCATGGCATGGCCTGAAAGCCTATTATGTGCAGTGGAGAAAATGTGTGTGGAGTGGCAGTCAGCCAACAGATGAACTTGAATGCAACTGCTCAAATTGGAGATTCCCTGTTCACTAGGCAAGCTTTTTCTTATAGTTAGTGATAATGCCATTCAATTTAAAGGTTAAAGCACAGCATTACCAGCCCTTATGAATTTCTTATGAGTTGTGATTAAGTGCAACTAAATTCTAAGTACTGTTAGACTGAGAAATGTCTACAACCTAAATGCACCGATATGAAATACTATAGGTACTGGCCAACAATCACCTGAAGCTATTTCCATTACAAAATTGGTCTTTGCTTTAAAAAAAATAGCACGATACTTCCCTAGATAATGACTCATGCAAAGTGTTTTCCATGATTAATGATGGTATTTGTCCTATGCCTGGTGCCAGGAGTGGGAGCCTATGGCTGACTGAAGCCAGCATGACAACAGAGATATCTTCTAGAAACAGGGCCCTGTGAAGCTCATTCTTCCAGATCTTCTAGGGGAAACTAGATGATAAGTGTGTCGATGTCTTCTAAAAACAATCTGCAAAGTGCTTTTTGATTCTGTGCCCTGATTACTGGCTGACCCATATAAGTTTGGCAATGCTACTGCCCTAGAGGGCCTGGCACTTTGACAAGCAGTTAAGGTCCTCAGTTTAGGGGAATTTCGAAAAAGCCAAGATAAGCAGACCAATTTCCAAAAAAAGTATATTCTTCTGATCTTTTAAATGTTAAAGGGCCATGTCAGTGGGTCATCTGGAGCACGGAAAACTCTGCCTTATAGAAACTGCCATTGTAAACAACTAGTGCTGAGTGGTCACACAGTCCAGATGCACTTTCCAGGCAAGAAGTGGACTGTCCACCTCTTGGGGCTACTAACTTGGGAGATTTGACGTTGTGTGTAAATTACTATTTGTTGCTAATGAATACGGTTGTTGCCAACGGTGTTGTAATGATCCAATAGGACAACACGGAGCATGCCTACCGTGGCCCTGTTCACTGAGGCACTATTTGCAACAGCCAAGTTTTAGAAAAAGCCTAAACATCTGTCAATGGGTGAATAAAGAAAACATGGTACCTATACATAATGGAATATAATTTAGCCTTCTAAAAGAAAGAAATACTGCCATATGCGACAAGACGGATGAACCTGGAGGACGTTATGTGAAGTGCAATAGGCTAGTAACAGAAGGATGAATCCTGTATTATCCCACTTAACCAGGGTATCTAAAATAGTCAAACTCATAGCATGACGTAGTGGAACGGCAGTTGCCAGGAGGAGATGGGGAAGGATAAACAGGAAGGTGCCCAACAGTGGGAGCAAAGCGTCAGCTCAGCAGTGTGCGTGAGCTCCAGAGACCCACTGTCCGCGTTGCCCCTGAAGTCCGCAGCAGAGGACTGTCCACTCACACGTGTGTGAAGAGGGCAGATCGCATGCTAAGTGTTCTTAACTACAAAATAGGATGAAATTGTTGAAAGAAGAAGAGAAAAAAAATCTCATATAAAAGAGAAAAAAATCTTTTTTTTTTTTTGCAGCCTGATTTTTGGACCAGAATAGCTCTACTATCTCAAAAGTATTATAATGTAATATACTTGAAATTTTATGTTTTCTAGTAATAATTATTTCAGACATTATTTTGTTAATAAGAATCTGATAAGATGGGGAGAGTAACAACTTAAATACTAATTATTTCTTTAAAAAAACAAAACTCTGTTTGCTCACTGGTCTTTTTTTTGCAGAAACACAATTACTGTATTAGAAAATGAAAAGGAGCTTTAGGTATTACTTAAAAAAACAAACAAATAAGGAAACTTAAGATCCAAAGAGATTAAGGGAATGCCAGACCGAGTATTAGAAAGGGGTGTCTGTCCGAGGCTCTTTGTACTAACATGATTTGTATACTGAAATGATGCAAATTATTCTTAGATGGAATACAGAAAAAAACCCCACTACTGCCCAGTTGTTTTTCATAATTTTCTGCCTTTAATCCTCATGAAAACTTTGCAACATAGGGGTAATTGTCACTATTTTCTTTTTTTTTTTTTTCAGGTAAGGGGACTGTGGCCACTGAAAATCATAAGACCAGGGGAAGGCAAGCTGGGACTCGGGTCCAGGTCTAATCTAACTATAGCCCCGGCTCTTCTCAATACACCTCGTGGCCTTCTGGAAGGTGATACGAGTCTTATGACATTCTGCTAATAAAAAAGAAATCACCCTGTAATTTTCTGGCTGTCTCACAGAAGATGTTGATTTTGGAGGAGAGCTGTTCCAAGGTCACGTACCTGTGGTAGAGTCGATGGTAAAAAGGGATGACAGGTCACTGGGGACGAGCTCGTAAGCCACTGTTCCATATATCCCAGAATCCCTGTCAGTGGCAAGAACATTGGCGATCTCGGTTCCTGGCTGAGTCTGGCCACTAATGCTTATCACGTAGGTAGACGGGTTAAACACAGGTTCATTATCATTCATGTCCTCCAGTTCCACACGAACAAAAGCTTGGGCACTTAGTCCACCCTGTAGACAAATGAGAAGGGATTACAAATGCATCTTTCCTGAACACTGGGATACAGAATAACTGACAAAGGTCCTAGAACAGACTTTTGAAATGCATAAAACTTTAAAATGAGCTCCTTATAGATGAGCTTACATGTAATATCATGATAGCTATATTTCAGCACTTATTCTTAAATATAAATGCTGTTGCACTTAAGCATGCATGAGACAGTAATTTCAGACTAGAGGCCAAAGATATTCAAAGAAAGTTTTCCTGATATCCAAAGAGAACAAAAATTCACCTTTATCTCCAGAGCATTTTTAACTAGTAAGGAGAAGGGGTAAGGAAGTATTGGTGGAGGATACCATTTTAGAAATGGTCATTGGTGAAAGCCTCACTAAGAAGGTGCCATTTGAATTAGAGACTGATACGGGAAGCTAGACTTCAATGACCTGGACTGGAAAAGCATAACGGAAGAAAAGAGCATGTGCAAAGGGCCTGAGGCAGAAGTGCAGCAGCGTTCGTCCCAGTCCTGCTCCTGGAACCGAAAGGCAGGGACAGGTTGTGGAGGTTCTTTTTGACAGTCTCTGAAAGGACCAAGGCTCTGACCTGTCAGAAGGTTTTTAAAAGAGAAGTTGCTTGATTTGACCTTGATTTTCACTGTTACTCTGGCTGCAGTATTCAAAACAGGCTGAAGGCCGGCAAGGCTGGAAGGAGGGAAATCAGTCAGGGGCTGTTTGGAATCATCAGTGGTAGCACTGAAGGTAATCCTAAATACCTGGGGCCAAATTTAGTTCAGAATTCTGAGTTGTTCAAGTTTTAGAAAAGCAATACACTGCATAAAATAGTGAGAAGTGGATCTGATACCGTTTATTTTCTGTTGCCTCCATCTCAAAACAAGGAGAAGCAGAGAGAACGCAACAGAAGAAAATAATCCTCCGTGATTTTTACTTTTCCAGAGTAAAAACACATGTTCCTACTTTAAAGCACCATTTTCCATTTGTATCTGGTACACTGCGAGACTTTCATCTTTGACAAATATCCTTGGTAAGGCACACAGCCTGGGTTTTCTCACTCACTTATCCCCCCCTTCCCTTGCTCTCTTTCTCCTTTAAATTTCTTTTCTTTTTTCTGCTGTGGCAGGGAGGCACTGAGGAGGAAAAAGACGGTGGGGAGGCAGTTTTGACAGGAGCGGAAGGGAGGTCCACTGCTGTGCAGATCTGGAGGGAGCTCCTGTGAGGGCAAGAGTGCTGTGCAGGATGACATTGAGGACGAGTCTGGAAGTGGCTCTTATACTCCGCGTTTCCATACACCTCAGACTTTGGGGACTAAACTAAAGTAAGAAATACATCTTTAGAAAGTATGATTTTCCTTGTTCTCAGCTGAATACAGTGCCAGGGCCATGCCGGCAATGAAGTAAAACAGAAGACAGAAAAACAAAGGAAGTTGCATATAGCCTATACACGTACAATGCAGATTGGCTCGGTATCTTCAGCAAACCTGAAGGTCCAGGAGGTCCCCAGGTCAGGTGGAGAAATGGGGACTGCAGGCTGATTGTAAGCAGATAGAAAATACTGCATATCTGTTTGATGCAGAAATACTGCATGCCATCAAACAGATAGAAAATACTGCATACCATCAAACAGAGACGCCGCTGTTTCCCCAAATGGTCTTTTTTCCTGCTGCGACTTCCCGTTGCCTTCCCTTTCCCCTTCCTTTCTATTTCTGCTCAAGTTCAAGATGTCTCTTAGGTCTGAGGAGGGGCTGAGACAACAGGTAATAGTAGTAATGAGAAAGTGGGGAAGATGTGAAAAGATGAGGAAGTCTCCGCTGAAGATCTTTGAGAACAGAGATGTTAATTCCTAGGCTCTCCATGAAGATCCTAAATCAGGCAACGCTACCAAAACCAGGCAGCATATTAGATGGACAAAATGAAAAGTGTATTGTCACAGAACAATGAATCTTTCTGCAGTATTAGTCTTAGTCTTCCTTTCTTATGACTTCAACTTTTAGCTGCTGAATTTATCAAATAAGATAAATTTTGTGTCATAGTAACCACTTGTGAATGTTTTAAGTGTACTTTACATATAGTTTCTCCTTTGATTGTTATAATCTCCCTTTTTCAGACTTTTATGGTGTCCCCCATTTAACAGATGAGAAAACCAAAGCAGAGAGAAGCTAAGGAATTTCCCAAGATAAACAAGACTGTAAATAGCAGATCCGCAGGTGTGTCCCCAAAGACCCTGTGACTTCTTTTAGATTAGATTTCTTTAAGGGTTGCTATGGTACCAATTTTACTTTTCGTGAAAGGCTTGTTTATAGACTATATGAGGTAAATGTCAACCACAGACTCAGCCTTAGGGATAAAGGAAGACAGAGTCCTTGTTTACAAGGACTTGCAATGGGGGAGACTGAGGCTGTACAGCGGGTTGGTGGCCCAGTGGAACAGTCTGAAGCCAAATGGTCTGGGTCTGCTGTGTGGCCCTGCCCGCATCTGGGGCTGCAGCCTCAAGAAAGTCAGGGAGTCACTGAGTCCGAGTGGCCTCTTCTGTCAAGCAGGGCTACCTCCTCACCTTGCAGGCCTGTTGCTGGAAGAAGTGACATAACACATGAAAGCATTTATAGTGGTTAATCACCATCAATTATAAGATTTTATAGACTCCTTATCCTAAATACTTGAGGCCAGATAGATCTGTCTTTGAATTCTGAATTACTCAAATTTTATAAAGGTAATATTGTGTGCATGACTAGTCTAAAGTTTCATCCCATAATCAAGCACTTATTACTCTGCAGCAATTAAAAAAATCATGACAACAGTGTGGCTATGGCCATAGGGAAGGGGATGGGGACCAGGTGGAGGCAGGCAAAGGAGAGGAAACTGGGGACATCTGTGATGGTGTCAACAATAAAAAGGGAGAGAAAATAAAATAAAATACATAAGATACGATAAAATAAAATAAAATAATAAAATAAAAACCGTGGATAGCCTCATGTCAGTTCAAGTCAGGTTTCTCAACAAATGAGTTTTTAAAACTTTCCCAGGTGAGCTCTTTGGGGTTTCAGAACTGCAAATGAAGGATGTAGATCTTTATTTTTCAGAAGCTGACCTGAGCTCTGAGCAGTGAACGGTGGGAACCTCAGTGCTGAGGGGATTCTTGAGCTAGGTCCTCAAAAGCAGTAGGATCTTAGATCTCCAGGTGGCATACAGTTCCCGAGTGTGGAGGAGCCCTTTTTAATGTGGACCCTGCAGGGTGGCTGCAAGTGCGTAGCGAGGAGGACTAGCTATAGTCTTTTCCAGCAAGGTTCAACGGCACCCGCTGTTCTCAGTGACTCCAAATCAGAAGTGTCTCAGAAAATTGTAAAGGCTGGTTTGATGCGTCATAGCCAAATAGTGAAGAAACTAAGAAAAGTCAGGATTCAGTCCAGTTTACAGATAGGTAACAAAATCTCAAAGGTGTCAGCTTATTAATTATAGCTCAATAAAGCTGTAGTAGAAAGGTAAAAATATGAGCGTACCCTTTTACTCGGTAAGTCCACTTCTGGAGAGCTAGCTATCTGCTTTACACACAAACCCCGCAGCACAAGCTCAACAGCCAGCTTTTGTCATGAATACATATAACGGTGGAGGGCAAAATCAATTTACTTCCTATACTGTCGGTGTGACACCGCCCAGCCCAGAGCCTGGAATGCTCAGATAGAGACAAAATACCTTTATCTCAGACAGATGTTTCAGCTGCAGAATTCAAGACATCACAAAAAACAGAAATAGAATGCTAATAAACATACACACCAGAAAAAGAGACATTTGCACGATGAGAATAAATGGAGAAGGGAAAAAGGAATTTATATATAAATATGGAATAATTAAATTACAGAGCTTTACCATGAAAGCCCATTTGATTTCCAATGTAATCCAATTATTTGCTTCCATTGCATAACTTTATAGCACCCTCATGGCTTCTGCAGATGAGATAAATAGTGGCTACAGTAGCAGCAAAAATAGTTTACTTCAGAAGTGATACCAACAAAATAGAAGTGATTGATTGAATTTTTTAAAATATTGACAGTCAGCCCAAGATTAAGTAGGAAAAAAAAGCCCAGAACATCTAGGTATCTTATGAGAAAAAAATTATTCTATGGACAAATAAATATCTTAGTAACCACCAGCAAATGAGCTCACAGCAATTTTCTTCCAAAGCACATTCAAGACATGTATTAGGAAGAGAAAGGATAAAGAAAAAAATCACAAACTGTCAAGGTAATGCTGTAAAGTTAAAGGTATTTTGTCTAAGTGCAGTTTATTGTTTTAAATAAATTCATTATGGCCTAAAATCCAACATCTTGAGCCTAAAATATCTTGTCTGAGTTCATTTATTCATTTATTCTTCTGATCCAGTCTAGACTACTATTTAAGGGACAGCCTACCCAGTCCTTGTCAACATTCTTAACTTTATCTTTGCCAACCTTTTTGATTAGGGACGTGTGCTATTGGTAGGTATTGCACAGAACAGTATGACAGGTGCAGACTTCACCTTGTAGAAATGCACAGTTCATCATGGAAGAAATGTATTAATATTATGCAAGCAAGGGAATAAACACTGCACAGTGGACAACACACACACGGAGTCTCCTGTCTTGCTCTCATATATCCTGAGGTGAACATGGGAGGCAGTTTTAGGTCCAAAGTGAAAGCAAGGAAGCTGTTAAAAGCCTGTTATTCAGAGGAAGGGGGAAGACTCTTCTAAATATTGTCTTTGAAAATGCATGGCCAGGCACGCCTCCAGGAGAACTCGTTTTCAGGTGGGCTGCATGCACAGCCCTCTTCTTGGGTCTTCCTGCACTTCTGCAGACTCACATGATGGGCAAGAAGGAGAAGACAGCCACCCAAGTGGAGAAGAAGGGGTCCAAACATCACAGAAGAAGGGGACTTCGAAGCCCTGATAGCCCATTTCCAGATACCAGTTGCTAAAAAGATGCAGAGCACAGAAACACTGTGTCCCCACCTTTATCCACATTGTAT